GGCTCTGACAGGATCTAAGAAAACAGGTTTTTAGACCAGCATGAATTTTTCTGATGCTAATTGGTGGAAACTCGTTAAAGCGCCCAGGAGCAGAGGGCCCTTCCTTTGCCTTTAGAACACAGATTAATCAACTTGTGTTTTTTAAATACTTGAATTCAATTCAATGAATTCAATCACAGTACCATTGATTTGCTGGAAAATGAACCAAAACCTTTGTTTTTGAACAATCTTCGCTCTTTTCTCTCTCCTTTATTTTCTGCTGTTATGGTATGAAATTGTATACTTAATTATTCGTTCATTATTTATTTGTTTTCATTAGATAAAATTTTGCATAATAGATACTAAAGCATTTAAATGACATTTTCTACAATTAAACTCAAATGATACATGTCGCTAATTTTACTGATCTCTGTCCCTTAAAAGCTAAAAAGCTTCAATCTTAAAATTAGAAAAAATATTTTAAACATGTTTTCATCCTCAGAAGTAAAAACATAAATAAGCCTAAATTACGTTTTTTTTTAGTTCAATCTTAGAACTAAATGATATAGAAGCAAATTTTATGAGATTTTATCCTTAAGAAACGGGAGCAATACAGTTTGTTTGAGAAGAGTTGCCATATAATGATGTCATAGGAAGGGCGGGGTCCAGAGCAGATCTGGTACCTAGGTACCTACAAGGTTTGGGGGAGCCCCTGGTTACCAGCGGGTCAGTGGTTGGATCCACGGGTCAGCCTAGAACAGGTCTGAGGGTGGAGTCGCTCATCATAACCTGATTCTGGCTTCTCTAACCGCGCCGCTCTCAGTAGTTCCTGATGTTCTGCTCATTTCAGTTTCCAGAGGAGCTCCAGAGGCTCACCGCTAACCTGAGGACTGTGGATCTGTCGGGGAATAAGATCGAGTTTTTGCCGGCCTCCGTGGGGAACTTCCTGCTGCTGAAGAGCCTGACGCTGAACGGCAACAAGCTGAGTGAGTATCCGCTGGACGGCGTCTCCTGTGGGACGTTCCCGCTCTGCTTCTTCTAACGCTCTCCTCTCTGCGGAAGCGGGCCTTCCTGATGACATCGGGAAGCTGAAGAAGCTGGAGACCCTGAGTCTGAGCGGGAATCGGATCCAGCGGCTGCCCTCCGCTGTGGGCCAGCTGAAGGCCCTGAGGACCCTGAACCTGGCTGGGAACTTGATCACAGAGTTCCCCGCAGGACTGGGAACCCTGAGACAGCTGGACCTGCTGGATCTGTCCAGGAACAGGATTCAGAGTGTCCCAGCAGAGGTGTCGGAGCTGCAGGCCATCGAGATCAACCTCAACCAGAACCAGGTTCCCTTCTCAGTACAGACGTCATAGAAGCTGCAGGGAACCCTGTCAGTAGCAGCTCCTCTCTCTCTCCCTCTCCTGCCAGATCTCGGTGCTGTCAACAGAGGTGTCCCGCTGTCCTCGGCTGAAAGTTCTCCGTCTGGAGGAGAACTGTCTGGAGCTGTCCTCCATCCCTCACTCCATCCTGGCCGAGTCCCAGGTGTCCCTGTTCTCCGTGGAGGGGAACCTGTTCGAAGTGAAGAATCTCCGAGAGCTGGAGGGATACGAGAAGGTCTGCTCATAGCGCTATGGTTACCAAACCGCTACTGTTTAAGCTTCATGGAGCGTCTGGAAAACCTCGCAGATAGAAACAGAAAGTATTCAACTATTTGCTCCTGTTAAGTAAACGGTCGATGGATTTCACTCAGTCGGCACCTTTTTAAAATCTTTGCAAATAGAACAGTTCATCATACGGCCCTTATTGCACGGTAATCATACCTGTTCTGATCTGGGCAGCGTTCCTTCCTCCTTACTTACAATAATGGAAAGTAGTCAGAGTCAAATAAATTAGACACTTTGGTTAAACAATAGCATGTCATGAATAAACCTTCAGAAAGAATTTGGTGTGTTGTGGGAAAAAGGTTTGTCATGTCAACAAACACCGTCACTCAGGGAAAACTTGCAGCTTAAACAGGCTGATTGAAAACTTTTATGGAGAGTAAATAGCATAAATTAATATATGAAATTAGAGAAACAAAATTTTCCGACCACACTTCCTAGAAGAATAAATGATGATGAGTTCAGACCTGTAGATGATAAACTAGAGCATCTATGGACGAGATGATGATGATGTCAGAAGTAACCTAAATTCCCAGTAGTGTCCTTAAAGAGAGACTGTGTAACCTTTGACCCCATCGTGACTGTAATCTGAGATCATCAAATCATCCTTCATCTCCAAAGCTAGCTAAGCTAACAGCTCTTAGCTGGGACCAGTGGCGGTTCTAGACCAAATGTACCAGGGGGCCAGGAGGGGGCCAGCATTGTTTTCATGGGGGCCCAGAAAAGCATGAAATAAAAAACAGGGGAAGGGATTCAAATATATTAAGAGAGCTGCATTAAGATAATTTTTTTTTCAATTACGTTTAATTAAAATTCTATGTCTTATTAGGTCAATATATATTCATAATTTAGGAATGTTACATATTTTTGACTTAATATAAGTAAAAATTACATTTTCTGTAAAATCTGAATTAGAACTCAAGAAAAACTGATAAATTCAGCTGCAAAAATGAGTTTTGTTTTTCTTATTTGTTTTGAAAAAATCGTTTAGCAGATGAAAACTTGGATTCTATTTCAATGCCACTGAAGCTATCGCCTAGTTGTTTTTAAATAATTAGTAAAACAGAATTCTAAAGTAAAAATAAACTTTAGAAAAAAGAAAAGAAATAGATCCAAAGGACCCTGTCTGTTCCAGCGCAGATCCAGTATTATGTCTTCGGTACAGGGGCCATAACAGGGCCCCTGTCTAGAACCGCCAATTGCTGGGACCCTGAGCTGATCAGACATGTTTCTGGTTCTGTGGTGGAGGATTTTAATCCAGAGAGGGAATGTTTCCTCGTCTTTACCAGAAACTCCAGGATTCTAGACCTGCTGGTCCAAACTGGTCTGATACCAGAACCAGAACCCAGACTGGTTCATTTAGAGACTGAGCAGTGCAGCTAGTGGCCTGCAGGAGGCGCTGAATCTGGAGGTTACAGGCCTAGTGCCCCCTGGTGGCTAAAAGTTGCACAGATCTGCTTTAGGAAGCTGCTGGTCCAGCAGAGTTCTGGTCCGGCTGTCCGTTTCTGGGCCGGTCCACCGGGTCTTCATAGCTCTCTCTTTCTGTCTCCTCAGTACATGGAGCGTTTCACCGCCACCAAGAAGAAGTTTGCCTGATCTTCCCCCAACATCTAAACTCCTACTAACCCCCCACCCCGCAGCAGTCGGAGCTTCTCATTGGTCCGCAGCCAGGCGCCACATAGACCTGCTGATGAGACGGAGCTTAGCAGCATGGAAGGAGCTTCAGTCACAGGAAGCCGGCGGCCAGCTGCTCCAGCAGAGGGAGCATCAGAAACTGCCTACTTTCAAGGACGTTCCAGTGATGTCATAAGCCCATATAAGGAAGCAGATGTTAGCTCCTGGACTTTGATCTTTTCCTATAGCGCATGAAGCCTAGTTGTCATGTTGTTGAGCGGCTCAGCCTTGTAGCACAACCATAACCCCCCCACCAACACCACCCCCACCCCCACCCCAGCCTTTAGTTTAACCATTTCAGAAAGAAAGACTGTAGCCGGTACCGGCCCGTTGTGCGACCCAGGAGGTTCAGAAGCTTTGAGAGCCAAACTGAAGTATGAAGCTCAACAAAGCTTTATGAAAAGTATTCACACCCCCACTAGGCCTGCAGGGTGTTTAATTAGAAGAGCGATTGAGCACTAATGAATCAGAGCTAGATCAGCCCATCTCTGGCAGTAGCTCCACGGCTGTGAAGATGAAGGGGTGTGAATACTTTTCGTGTTTTTAACCATGGTTGTTTTACACTGACACTAAACAACTGTTTCTCTGATCCGTTACGTTTGAGGTGACTCTGTGTTGGAGTGACTGACATGCTGGATGTATCATGGTCTCTGTATGAACTGACTGTTCTGTCCTCCATCATGCCCTGTATTTAATAAAAGCTTAACCGGACCTGCCTCCATCTTTTCCTTGACAAGCAGCTCCTTTGTCATCTTACTCCAGCTTGGTAACGATGTAGAACAAATATAATACAATGAGACCTGCCTTTTCTCAAGAATGTCTTTATTACTGCTGTTCGAAAAAGACGTATCATTTCCGAGAATAAAAAAACTACTTTGAGTCATGTTTGAACGGATGCAGCTTGGTCTGTGTTCTACTCACCCAATTTTACTCACCCAAACTAGAGGGTGTTAGTTTTCAAATGATGTATTGCACATGTAATTTGGGCTTATAGTTCCTAAGGTATTTGCTTTTCCATTTGAGTATACAAAAGAGGCAAGGATTACCCAAAATGAGTTGGACTTTAAGAGGTTCCACCTACTATATTCTATTTTTTAATTTTGTAAAGCAGATTAGCTGATCACAGATCACCTGAGAACTGGCTCAGAGTTCATCTGATTAACTCTTTCTTTGCCAGACAGAGCCTCTATGGAGGTAGTTTACAGTTAGCTTTTCTAACATAGAAATTGTTTATAGATCCGTGCTTCTATGCTTCTTTTTTCTGTGTCTGCTTCTGTCTCCTTGAACCCCAGTTGGTCTAGGCAGATGGCCGCTCACACTGAGCCTGGTTCTGCTGGAGGTTTCCTCATGTTCAAATCGAGTTTTTTCCTCTCCACTATCGCTACAGGCATGCTTATTCTGAGGGATTGCTGAAGAGTCAATGACTCTGCAATCAACTGTAGAGAGAAAACTTTGAATAAATCTGAATGGATTATCTGGTGGATCTAAGTCTATAAAGTGACCTGAGAAATAAACTGAATTAAAGTAATAGATATAATCCAAGAATTTAAAGACAATTTGATAATTAATAATTTATTTTATTATCATGGTTTAAAGAGAAATGAATAATAAACCATTAAAACATCCATGAGGCATCCTGCAGTAACTTCAGGTCTTGATCAGAAGGAGGAGCTCTCCCACCAGCCTGTGGAAGGGGCTGGTTTCTCCTCCCCTCTCAGGACTCTGTGGTTCCCTCGATGTTTGGTTTTTCACGCGCTGGAAAATGGAGCTTTATTAACAGAGCAAAGAGAAATCCTGGTGTGAGTGACAGATGAAGAGGCCCACGGACTGAGAAGATGAAACCGCTGCTGTGGACTGTTGCTGTTTTTCTGCAGACTCTGACTGGGAGCTGTGGGAGCGGTAAGTGTTGCTCTAACTGGGAGCTGTGGGAGTTAATGGGACCGCTAATGTTTTCCTCCAGAACTCCCAGATTTCTGTCTCCACTGTTTGTTCAAACAGGAAGTTCTGATAGTTTAACTTTGCTCTTAATAAAGAGTGGAGGCGCGCTTCT